AAATGCTATTTAAGGTAATACTTGCAAGCTTGACTATCAGATCTTAGAAAGTAATAGTTATATCTACTAAGTTTTATATGAATTAAATAACCTGAAAAATATTGATCAAAGATAAATATAATTTACAATGTTTAAATGAATTAATAAATAACTTCATACTTACTAATAACTAAATTACAGAAAAAGTGCTATTTAGAAATCATATAGTCTTAATCATTCACTATGCTAATAAAATTTAACAACTTAAAAAGCACTGTTTTAAGATAAATATATATTAATATGTTTGAATTTCAAAGTTTAAATAAATCAACATATGAATGTAATACTTACAAAGTTAAATCCTATAAATTGTTGCTTAGTAATGAAAATTGTAAGTTTGAGTTGAGGTAAAAATTCTAAATGTAAATTTAAATTCTATTAAATAATAAAATATATAATTGTTTTATTAAGCATTCGATAAAATGTTTGGTATATAAAAACTGTTGTTTTAATCAAGTGAAGAAAATATGTCAATACAATTCATATTTTTTTTAAGAAATACCAATTGATTCAATAAGTTTGGACTAAGCTATTATACTTATTCATTACATAGTTTCTGGTATCAGAAAATAAACCCTTTGATGGTACAGAGCAAGCTGGCACTGCAAGGTATGGCCTCATCAAAATTGTCATGATAGGAAAGAGGGTTTTGTATTTATGCCACCATTCTAGAGAGCAAGACTCTTCATTAAGAGAAATTTCAGGCAGTTGACAATACTGGTCAAATTCATTGGATTCAATGTTAGAGTTTTCTGTTTGTAAATACATAAAAAATGTTGACATTTTGGATTTTTTATATGAATGCAAAAATACTAAAATTGAATCATCATTATTATTATTATCAGAGGTTGGTGTTGGACAAAGTTCATTAAATTGACAATGCATATTTTGGATAGTTGAATGGTGTAAAGCACTTGTGCAGAAATTTAGTTTTTTAAATCTTGGGTCGAGAAAGGAACAGCACATGCCACTTCACTTGAATCTCCCTAACGTTCAATTAAATTGTCGAATATTATTTTTCTAACAAGGATAGCCTTATTACTTTTTCCTGTAAAGTACCTGAGCTGACAAGCAAGTTCTTCTAAAATTGGTGTCATAAACCTAAGGGTTGGGTATTTGGATCCACTTAAGAATTGAGTTACTTCATTAAAAAAAAAAAGAATTTCTATTAGTTCTTCTAATAATTCAAATTCTTTTGTAGAAAAAATAAAAGAACCTATAGTTTCTGCCCCTTTTCTAATTTCTCTAATAGTATGATTAGTAAGAGTTGAGTATAATTGTATAATAGTAGGTTTTAAATGCATAAGACATTTAATAGCATAAAGGATGGAATTCCAACATGTATTCACATCTTTAATAATATCTAAAGGTTGTTTTAAACCTGGAGTAATTTGTAATTGAACTTCACGAAGCTGTTTACATTTTTTTTTTTGACAAAATTGCAATAAGTGATTTATATTTTGAAATAAGATCATCAACTTCCTTTAAACCCAAATTAACACTTAATTGAAGTGTATGTTTAGTGCACTTTACATTAGTAATATTCAATTGTTGCATTGCAGATTTGATATTTGAACTGTTATCTGTAGTAATAGTGAAGATCTTTGAATGTTCAATATTAAATTTATTAAGAACCAAATTAACCGACTCAATAATATCAGATGCATTATGTTCATCCAACTCTCCATATCAAGTATGACCTTGTACAATTCAAATGAATCTGTAAGCCAGTGGCAAGTAATTCCTAAATAGCTATTGTGCACTCATGATGTCCAAATATCAAAGGTTAAAGAAACTGTATCTGACATTTTTGAAATAAGATCTATAATTTGGTTTATTGTAGAATTATAGGAGTTAAATATAATAGTTTTAATTGTATTAACACATGATATTTCAAACCGAGGATCAAGACTTTTTGCCCAAAGCCTAAAATTATTATCTTCAACTAATGAATGGGTTCAGTATATGAGATTATATAATGTACAAGTTTATGTATAAGTTTTTTTTGCATATAGGAAGAGTGAAGTCTTGAAATTACTTGCTGAATCATTTGTGGATTAATTTTTAATGATTTATCTTTAAATAATTCTTTAGTAATTTGATGTATATAATAAAGATAGCTTATTAAATTGGTAGTGAATCCTTTCCACACATATGTTGTTTCATATCCTTCAATTGAACATTGAGCTTTTTCAGTTTGTTCATCTTAATAATCTATGTATTTTTTAAAAAATTTCCAAACAAAACTTCCTAGTTTTTTTTTTTTTTAATAACATTTAAATTGCAAATAGATGAAGTCTGAGTAGATGTAGAAGCTAATAATTCGATATCACTATTATTATCTTCATTTTCAGATAAAGAATTAAATTCTTCTGAACTATTCATTACAATTTTTATGAGATATAATCAAAAAATAACATTAGATTTTTTTTTTTTAATTTATCATTCTTTTATACTATTGAACATTAAATGTTGGCATTAAAGATACTATACTTACATATTATAAAATTATAATATAGCAGTGAAAAAAAACAAGTTCTATACAAGATAAAACCCAGGCTTAAAATTTTTTTTATTGTTTTATTAAATTTTTTCATTATTTCACTTTAAATAGAGCATTTGATTTTGCTAATGTAAACAATTTAATTATTATCATTAATCATTTTGGTATTTATGAGATTTACTAATTCATATAATTCTTTTAATTTTGCATATTCACCTGATTTAATACATTATTTAACACTATAAGAATGAAAAGGTGGATGACATAATGCATGCTTTTGTTCACATTACTAACATTTTTTCTTTACTAATAACACCTTTATAACCAGCTCTCTTTTTAATATAGACACTTGTTACAAAGTTGATAAGATAAAAAAATTTCTTATTTTCGATTGAATTTTTTTTACTTATTCTTTATACTATTGCTAAAGTAACACAAACTTTGCAAAATCATATGCAATGTAAATAAACTCTGCATGCATTAACTCCTCAATTTAACCAATATGTTCTAATGCCCATATGAAAAATACCGCTGACATCATATATTTTATATAGTATTTATATGTGTTACATATTTCTTAATATACAAATTGCTTATCATTATGTAGTAATTAACTCCTCGATTTAACCGATATGTTCTAATAATACCAATTAAACATTGCCCATAGGAAAAATACCACTGACATATGTTACACATTTCTTAATATACAAATCGTTTACGTACGTAGTAATTACCTTTTTGATTTAATCAATATGTTCTAATAATTACCAATTAAACATCGTTTATAGGAAAATACTGCTAACATTATATATTTTATATAGTATTTATATGTGTTACGTATTTCTTAATATACAAATCGTTTAATTATATTTACAAGATATGTCAATGATATTTTTTTTATAGGTTTGCTTTATTGAATAATATAACAAGTAATATGATTTTAATACTAGTTATAATAAGTTGTTTAGTTGATTAACATAGATAATAGTTGGTTGTCAACTAGTTGACAATTACAATTAGTTGTAGTTAATTTAGTTGATAGTTATACAATTAGTTGTTTTCAAAATTTTTAAATCGATTAGTTAGAAAGTTGTCAACTAGTTGATTTTTCAACTAATAATTTGGATCACTAGTCAGGACTAACCATTAAACTGCTATGCCCTTGTAGAGTTCACTTAGACCTTAGCATCTACTTTACAGCATAACTCCGGTACTTTAATATATCTTTGCCTTTTCTCCTGTCCTTTTACCAAACTCCTAATCCAGATAGCCTGTGTAGGACTACAACCAGTCTATCAGTATATCAGGTTGGCCTGATATCCTTTTCCTTCAGTTCATTCTGGCAGCCTGGTTAGTAGTACCTCTGAGACTCCCAACCTGGAGGTTCTTGCCCATCTGGTTACTAGGACCAGGTACTAGACCTGAGTATCTGTTTTGTCAAGCTAGCCTTTACAGTAGGGTCATCAAAAATCCAGCTACCTCTTTACTTAGGTCTTTCCAAATAGACTTTTTGTTACCCAATTTCAACAGATTTACATGGCCACAAGGACTTATCTAGTGTTTGTACCACCCGATTCGTCAGTTTGCATTTCTCTATATAACTTCAACATTGCATGAATGCCCCATGACCTGCCAGTTATGCTGATGTAACTGCCATTACAGGTATCCTAACCCAATCATTAGTAACATTTGCTATAATACGAATATTACATAGGTGATTATTCAAATTTTCACTATCAATGGGATTTGAACACCCAACTTACCACTTGGAGGGTTGACAATCTGACTATTTCACTAGGTCACTACACTTTTATTTAAAAGATATTTTAGATGAATGACAAAGAAAATGCTTATTATAAAAGATGAGTGTATAATAAGATAGATGATTGTTAATAACAAAAAAAGATTTTGAGAGAATGACTTAAATATTGGCTATATATAAAAAAATTCAGTTATAAATAATATATATGATAGTTTAGATTGTAATAAAGCAATCCAAAAGATATCATTCATATAAGCCATGATAGAGCATTGTTTTTGTAATGAGTTAGATGTTTAAAATTTAAAGTTAGTAGTCTAAAAAGATTATAATTTGTAATCAGAAATGTTTAAATATACATAAAAGATAAATGGATTATATTAAATATATTATAATAAAAAAATAATAATTTTATCTTGATCAATATTATTGTAAACTGAATAAGATAAAGTTAAACCAAGATTAGTTAAAACTTAATTATGATGATTAGTAAAAAAGTTAGAAAGAATGTTAATAGTGAATAAAGAAAGTGAGAAATAAGAAAGTGTATGTTTAAAGAGAATAAAATTAACAGAGTCATAGGCTTTATTCACATATTATAAAAGTAACCAAATGTTCTTATAATTGCAAGAAGCATCTTCAATAAGATTATTAAGAATATAGATATAAATTAAGGTGCTATTGTTAGAAAAAGTAAAATAATTAAAAAGTGAAATAATAAAATAAATTAAAAATACATAGCTAAGTTAATTAGTAAGAATTTTAATATAAAGCTTGTGAATATGTTTAACAAAACTAATAGATTGAGTAGAGTTGAAATTACTATCAAAGATATTTTATTTAGAAATAAAATAAATGTGACTATGTTTTTATTGTTTGAAAATTCTATTTTCAAGAAGACAACTGCTGAAATTCTTTTTAAAACAATTAATAATTAATTTGTAATAAATATGTTTAAAACATTAAATAAAAAGATCAATAATCTTTTTCTCCTGACCATTACATTTAGGAAAGAGAGTAATTTTAAAAAGACAAAATAAACTTGACTCAAAGCTTTACTAACTTCAAAAACAGTAGCAGAACAGGGGCTCTTCCACTTGTTCCTAAAAAGCATAAGACTTTTATCTTTGAAGTCTACAGAAATAAGAAAACTAAACTGGCAACAAGTCTTTTAATAAAAAAACAACTAACCAAAATTGCAACTAATTTCCTTCTTGGAAAAAATATTATAGCAACAGAAACTACCTATGATGTTTAACTGTCACTATGCAAGATGACTCTTTGGATAGTATTAGCTAAGATGAACAAGTTACTTTGGAGAATAAAAAGAGACTTCTTGAAGAAAAGATAGACCAAAATAACAACACAGTTATATTTAGTTCCAAAACATGTCTTGAAAAACAAAATAATAGGAAAAACAAAACAACAACATCTTATATAGAACAAAACAACATGTCTTTTGCAAAACCTGATGCAATGGATACAAACAAAAACAAAGGAACCTCAAGTAAATTATGATCAAGCCTTTTTGCAAAAGTCAAGAGAGGACAGTCAACCTTCTCTTTATTCTTGCCAAGAAACAACATAAGATCTAAAAATAATAATGCACTCATACTAGATATCCATAACCTTAATGTTTCATTAAACAAAATTATGATTTCACTCTATGAGACAGCAGGACGTGACATAATTATTGCTAAGCCACATGTAAATAGGGGATCTTATACTCATTTGGAACTAATCTTCACTAATAAGGAAAAGTTTAAGCACTATATTACAAAAGGAGTTGAAATTTTTAATCGTATATACTATAGACATATTTTAGTTAACTCTAGAAGATCCTTGTTGCTAGTTAATATTAGAAATGTTTCTTTAGAAGATAAGGAATTTATTTTGGAAAGAATTAAAAATGCTTTTGAAAATTTTGGTAAAATTGTCTCAATTAAGCCACTGTTAATAGAAGGCACATCTTATCTAACTGACCAGTAGATTATTACTTTTGAGACTACAGATGATGTAAATTTAGAAAAAAGAATTCACTAGTTTTATATTTTACTTGACAACAAGATTATTACAGAATGGTGTGCAGCTCCCAAGCTCTACTACTTCTGTAATAATAAGAGACACATTAAAAAAGACTGCAAACAGTACCAGTAAGCTATCAAGCTTTATTGTCAATATAAAGAATTTCTTTCTAACAAAAGAAAAGAAAAACTTTCATCAGGAGGCTTGGAAAATACAAATGCTATTTAGCAAGAACAAAACAACATTTCAAAAGAGCTAAATATTGAAGAGCATCAACAAGAAGAAACCCTTTTAAATACAGCTATCAGTGAAGAAAATAATGAAACAAACAGCACTATACTAGCAGAAAAAGATCTTAATTGTCCAGTTGAGAAAGTTATAGATGGCATCAATGATGAAGCACCTGTTATAGAAAATCCAGCTACAGGTCCTTCAATAGAAATTGAAAAACCAAAAACTCTAAACATCTCAGTTGTACTAATTGCAAATGACAACAAGCTACAACTCCAATCAGAAAACCCAGATGATAGATTTACCTTAAGTCCACAAAGGAAAAAAAAAGACAAAAAAAGTAAAAAAGATCTTACAAATCAGAAAGTTAAGACAACTAGGTCTGCTTCTTACAAAAAAACTTGTAATAGAGCACAAAAATTACAGATCTGAAATCTGTACTACTCTATCTTAATATGACTAGACAATTTAAATTTAAAATTGCAAGCCTCAACGTAAAGGGGCTAAACAATCAACAAAAACAATGAAACACTTTAACTCTTTTAAAATCTTACAAACTAGACCTTATTATATTACAAGAAACAAACTTAAATGATAAGAACACACAGAGCTTTTTTAAAAATCAGTAGATTTTTGATTCAGTCTGGTCAAACAAAACAGCTATACTCGCAGGCAACAAAGGTATTATATTTAAGAATACAAAAATGAATTTAGACAATAGAATCATTACTACTAATTTCAAATTCAAGGATCTTACATTCCAAATATCCAATATATATGCACCTCCTAATCCAAACAATAGAAAACTTTTTTTTGAGAAATAGTTATCACAAATTAATAAAGATGCCATCAACATAATTGGAGGTA